AGGAATTCTGTTATCAGATGGGTGGCTTGTCCCAACTGGCATGATAGTTAAAAATCTCAGCTGGGCTGTCTGAGGGAAGCTGAAGACCTCTGAGGAATCAGCCCAAGGTTTCTGCAGGAGGAAAAGGACAGAGATGACATAACTGCTCAAGTTGCATAAAGGCCAATAATTTTTAAGATGCGTGTATAACCAACTACCTGGAAGGGTTTGGCCACAGGTGTGTACCGACCACATTCTGTGTCAAGGTCTGTTAAGGGGCTGAAGGGAGACGAACAGGACCTGATTAAGTGCCCTGGGGAGAGTGCAGCCTGGAAGGGGCGTAAGGCCCAATGCTAGACAGACCCAAGCCTGAGTTTCCAACTCTGCCAGTTACCAGCCAAGTCATGGTGCTTCTCTGTGCCTTATCTTCTTCATCTGTGAAATGAAGATTATAATACCACGTGGGCTGTGGGGAGGACTAAATGAAATAAACTTTATGAAGTATGCGGCACGAGGAAGTGCTTAATAAGTGGCACTTCCTTTCCTCCTCCAGAGAGGTAAATCTAAGCCAGTGTAATAACTGCTCATCCCTTGTTTCTACCATCCTGCGAGCAGTTAACTGCTTACAGAACTGAAGAGTATCACTCGGCACGGGTGTACTGAACTCTAACTACAAGCCTCTCCAAGCTGGGATCACTGGGTTAAACTGCATGCACCTCTGTCAAGACACTTGCTACACTTTGCTGTTTCCATTCCTACTTGTCACATCTTCCACGATAACCTTTGCATCTTTAAGATTAAAAAAATTTTTTTGCTATTTTTAAAAGGGCAAAATAGTAATTCCTTGTTTTACTGTGCATGTCTTTGACTACCACCAAGACTGAACCTTATTGACAAGTACAGGGATTTTGTCGATACTGGAACTTTTAGTTGGAAATGGGTGATATGAAGCATAAAAATAAAAATTCTGATAGACTGTAAGTATAACTACATAATATATAGGTATACAACAATCTGAAGGGAAACAGAATGTAAATGTTAGTAACTTGGCTTTATTATTTTCCACTTTCTATTAGATTGCCTTTATTCCTAAAACAAGGGGAGTCATAATTGATGAAATTTTAGTATTCCACTGTTTTATTTATATATGTTTTAATCCTTTAGTATACTGAGGGGCTTTTTGAGTAATTTAAATAAATCGTAACAATAAAAAAAAGATTGAACAGTGTAACACGTATTGTTTCATTCCCTACATCACTTTTTCATGTATAGACCACAACACCCTCTGCCATCTTTATAATTCAGAAAACTTTAGGTTTTTCAGAACAACCAGTAATACTTCCCCAAAGATGAGATTATAAAGTAAAAGAATACCTGATTCAGTTTGAGGGAGCAGAAGACAAAAAGTTCTGGCGGAGCAAGAGATGAAGCAGGAAGAAAGGACCAATTTCTTTTTTTTTTTTTGTGGTACACGGGCCTCTCACTGTTGTGGCCTCTCCCGTTGCGGAGCACAGGCTCCGGACGCGCAGGCCCAGTGGCCACGGCTCACGAGCCCAGCCACTCCGTGCTATGTGGGATCTTCCCGGACCGGGGCATGAACCCGCGCCCCCTGCATCGGCAGGCGGACTCTCAACCACTGCGCCACCAGGGAAGCCCCAATTTCTTTTGTAAAGGAATATCCTAACCCCCCTGACCTAATCCATACATTAAAGGCACCTGGGGAAATTTTCACTGCTGGTTACAGCACGTGTTTGCTTTCCAGTCCACGTGGTCAGTAGGCATCACAGACACAGCTTGGTAAATTACCAGACACACTTACTGTGGCGTGGGAGATGGTCAGAATCCCGTTCTTGACAGAGCACTTCCTTCTCTGCCACACTTTCCGGATCCTAAGGAGGGAGTCAAACACAAGCTGATACAGTACCTGGTTCACGTAACTATCATAACAGAGTTATGATGCATAACAGTCATTACCAAAAAACCCCAACCCCAACCCCAAAACCACACAAACCAGAAAATTTTGGTTGCCTTTTATTATCCCAGGTGGAGGGTAATTCAGACTAGTAGGCATGCACAAGGATGCTCATTATAGCACCGTTTTTGATAGTGAAAATGGGAAACAACAGAAACAATAGAAATCTAATAGGAGGAATGAGTAAATGATTATAGTTACATTCATACTACAGAGTATTATTATGTAGGAGTTTAAAAGAAGAAAACAACTACATATGTGCAGACCTACATAAACAGATTTCTAAAGCACACTGTTGATTGAAAAAGCAAGCTGCTTTAAGATAATTCTGGTATCATCTAATTATGTTAAAATTTCAGGCCTATAAAACAGCACTCTAAGTTTTCTACAGGCATATACATATAGGTGTAAACATATTTCCTTCGTTATCACCTGTCTCCCCATTGAGAATGTAAGCTCTATAATGATAAGGACTTTCAATGTTATAGTTTCAATGTTATCGTCCCAGTGTCTACAACAGTGTCTGGCACGTAGGACTCCCAGAAGATATCTGTTGAATGCATGGGAAGAATGATGAGCAAAACTGACAGTGATCCCAGAAACGTGCAGGAGAAATAGTTGCAATTTTAACAAACAAATTAAAACAAAATGAAAATCTACATGTCTTACATAAAGCCAAGGAGCACACATCCACAAACAATCAGAAAACAAGAAACTTTCTTTTAAAGGATGATAATTAGTAAAGCAAATAATCAAGATTCTACTTACTTACTGTGAAACAGAATCATTTGTTCAAGCAACAGAAAGACGGCAAGTGTGGAAGGACCAGGGGAGAAAATGGCCCAAATGAGGCTGGAGAGAGAGGTGGGGAATGACTTTGGAAACAGCCCAACGTGCTGTGTGGAGATGAACCGGAGAAGGGACGAGTGAGTGACAGAGAGACCAGTTAGGAGGCCACCAAAATAGTCCAGGAGAGGTGACGGTGCTCATCTGAGAGCAGGGCAGCAGAGGCAGCAAGTCATGTATACCTTCTCGTTATTGGGTTGGCCAAAATGTTCGTTCGGTTTTTCCCATAAGATGGTTCTAGTAGCATAAGATGGCTCTAGTAGCACTTAGTTGTCTTTAACTTCACTGGAAACAGTTTTGTTAGATTGCATGTGACAGCTGTCATATCAGCATGCATTTAAAAAAAGACTTATCAAAACTGGTGAATTTTTGTGTAGCCATTTTAATACTGAAGATGGAAGAAACAAAGCAACATTTTCTGCATATTATGCTTTATTATTTCAAGAAAGGTAAAAATGCAACTGAAACGCAAAAAAAGATCTGTGCGGTGCATGGAGAAGGTGCTGTGACTGAGCGAACCTGTCAAAAGTGGTTTGCGAAGTTTCGTGCTGCAGATTTCTTGCTGGACGATGCTCCACTGTCGGGTAGACCAGTTGAAGTTGATAGCAATCACATTGAGACATTAATTGAGAACAATCAACATTATACCATACGGGAGATAGCTGACATACTCAAAATATCCGTATCAAGCCTTGAAAATCATTTGCACCAGCCTGGTTATGTGAATCACTTTGATGCTTGGGGTTCCACATAAGATAAGTGAAAAAAACCTTCTTAACCTTATTTCTACATGTGATTCTCTACTTAAATGTAATGAAAACATTCCGTTTTTAAAATAAATTGTGATGGACAATGAAAAGTGGATACTATACAATCGTGTGGAATGGAAGAAATCAGGGGGCAAGCAAAATAAACCGCCAACAACCACACCAAAGGCCAGTCTTCATCCAAAGAAGGTTATGTTGTGTATATGGTGGGATTGAAAGGGAGTCAGTCCTCTATTATGAGCTTCTTGCGGAAAACCAAACGATTAATTCCAACAACTACTGTTCCCAATCAGACCGACTGAAAGCAGCACTTGATGAAAAGTGTTTGGAATAGTCAACAGAAAACGCATAACCTTCCACCAGGATAACGCAAGACTGCATATTTCTTTGATGACCAGGCAAAAACTGTTACAGCTTGGCTGGGAAGTTCTGATTCATCCTCTGTATTCGCCAGACATTGCACCTTCAGATTTCAATTTATTTAGGTCTTTACAAAATTCTCTTAATGGAAAAAACTTCAATCCCTGGAAGACTGTAAAAGGCATCTGGAACAGCTCTTTGCTCAAAAAGATACAAAGTTTCGGGAAGATGGAATTATAAAGTTGCCTGAAAAATGGCAGAAGGTAGTGGAACAAAAGGGTGAATACGTTGTTTAATAAAGTTCTTGGTGAAAATGAAAAATGTGTCTTTTATTTTTACTTACAAACCAAAGGCACTTTTTGGCCCACCCAATAGAAACGGAAGAGCTTGTCGTCAGGCTGGCTGTGATGCAAGAGGAAAGAGCGGAGTCAAGGTTGACTCTCAAGGCTGGGGTCTGCGCGGCCAGGGGGTCATCTGGCAGAGAACACCACAGTGGAAAAACCAGAGAGGTGGGCGAGCATGCAGTCAGCGAGCCGTGTGCTCAAGTTCGACTCAGTGCCTGCATTCCTCAAATTGCACGTCACAAGTCGCAGGTGCCATTTAGGGACCACAGAACAATTACTGCTGCTTCTGAAGACAGCAGGTTAAATCTCAGACTTACTGAGGAAAGCAGTGTGCTAAAGGTCTGAAGCTGGTGCACTGGAAACCTTGTAAGTACGTTTCCCTATCTGAGGCTGGGACAGGTTCCTAGGTTACTAACACCTGTAAGTATGCTAAGCACACACAGGACCCCAGGCTGGCTGTATACGTACCCATCGCTTTTCTTCAGTAGGTACCCCTTCTTCTCACTGCCATACTCCTTGTTGCCCTGGAGCTGGTGCATGCTGTATCCTCCTTGCCGGCTCTGGGAATCCTAGAATGGAGAAACCACAGATTAGACAAATGCCAGAGACAGTTCTCAAATCCTTGACTCTATTCTGCCATGGAGCCTTTGCCTGTTGGTCTGGAGCTAAGAGAACTGTGAACTTCTGAGCGCTGTCGGGTCCTTGTCCTTATTCTAGAGGCAGAAACTGGGCAGGTAAGCAACCGCCAGAGTCACAAGCAAGTTCGAGGCAGAGCTGAGGCCTGGGGTAGAGATCTCCTATTTCTAGTTCAGAAGCCAGCTCGACTTCAAACGAACAGTGCAGCGACAGACTGGTCTATGACTCAAACCAGTCTACACTGGCAGCAGAGGTGAGCACAGGAAGGGCTGGAGGAACCAAAGTGGGCCACAAGACAAGCTCATGCATCCCGAGAGATTTTCTTTCAGGTACCCCTCCTCTGCCTCACGTGTTCTGCTTAAATACTCCCAAAGAAAAGTACACCTCCTCTGTGAGGAACTAAGAATTGCTATAAAATTCTTGTTTTGTAACTTACTAGTGCTCTGCAAAAATATACCTATAACCATGCTTTTAATTTAAAAAGATGACTTTAAGGCAGGGAAAAGTGTATGGCGTGGTGACAGGGTGACAAACGCTGACAGAACAACACGGATGCAAACAAGCTTGATCTAACATCCACTGAGGCTCCCCCTCGTTTCTAAAAACTGCATGACCAGACGCAGCCATTACACTGTGGAAATGCAAGAAATAAACAATGCCGAACTGTAGAACGAGAACACGGGGCTTTAGACACAGAGGTACGACAATACATTCTCACAGAAAGCATTGACTTACTCTCCTAGACTTCGATCAGGAAGGGCAAAAGCAAGAGAAAAAAAGGCAGAACAGTTGAAAATACAGTTAATTTCATTGACAGTCTTATTGTCTATAATTTAAGCACTTTTTGTAACACACGGAGAAAACATCACTGTAAAGATAATTAATATCAGATTTCTCTCACACACACGCCCTTTAGAGTCATGATAAACTTTGGGTGATGGGACAATAAAATATCTTTATCAAGTTTCATTTCAGGTCATTTGAGAACAGAAAAAAAAGCTGAATGGAAGAGCATGAGGTACACATTTCACCAAGATTGAAGGGTTGACAAACCTCAACGTGTGTGTGTGTAAAGGGAATCAACAGTTCAGCGAAACCCAGTTCATTACTTAGAAAATCTAAAAAGAGCAACAAATTGTAAGAAGATCCTTTCTTTTCCAAGTGAAGAGAATTTAATAAAAATATCCAGTTCATAAGCTGCAACTCGATGGTGAAGAGACAGAAAGCTGAAGCAGCCATTATTTACTGACGGCTTGTGCACGGCCTGCCTTCCAGGCCACGATGGCCTCTTTCTGGCATTCAGGATCCTCTGGACCAAACAGCATGTGCTTGGTGAATGCATATTCATGTTAATAATAGCTGCAGGAAAATCTGCAGGACAGTGCACCTCTATAGGGCTATTCTACATGTGATGAGTTCACTGTTCAAAAGCACACCCCGAACACTCCCTAAAACCCAGGCGGGGTGAACATGCTGAGGACACTGGGACGCAGCCCGTCTCAGAGATGGAAGCTCCCCCTCAGAACCTACACCGTCCTGCTCTCTCGTGTAGGTGTAGCTGAGAGCTAAGCGCATGCTGTACCAGGCAAGTTGACTCAGACGACAGAGGTTACAAACTCTATTCGTTTTCTTAATCTGAGTAATTTCTTTGTCTTTAACTGGCCAGATTCCCTCCAGCTGAAACATCTTATTGGACAAGTTTAATCACCTGGGGAGAAGTGGGGCGTAGGAATCTTGAAAAATTCCCCTCCATGTTTACTTTTAACCAGGGTCCACAGCCTTGAACTCAGAGTAATTTGGCCCACTCTGCCCTCCCTGACAGGTACTTTCTGGATGGAACTATGACCGAGGACCTGTACCACACACCAAGTAGGCAGAGATAGCCTGCCTCTACCAGTGCCTCTAGTGACAGCCCCCAATACAATAGTAGTGACACATGGGTTTTTTTTAGGAGGCAGCAATGTGGCCATAATACTAATAAAGAACTATCAGGATAGAAAACTAGATCAGGTGGTAGAGGCCTGAGCCATGGGACAAAATAAGAGGCCAGGATAAATGAAATCCACAGAGCTCCTGCTTTAACCCAATGAAATCACATGAAAATCACTTAACTATCAACCTGGAGTTAGGGATCTTTGCCATAGCTATACCTCTCCAGAACATTAAAGACAAAATCTAAAATCTCCTTGATATCAATTTTCATTAAGATAACTCTCTTCCTTGGAATGCTTTTCTTTGAACTAAACTTCCCTTTATCTGCCCACATAATTCCTATCTGTCTGAACGCTTTAAAACTATGCATCTTAACTGGTTTGCTAACCTTTAAAATAAAAGCCTAAGTTCTGGGGTTTTTTTTTTTAGTTTTTTTTAAAATTAATTTTTACTGGAATATAATCAATTTACAATGTTGAAAGCCTAAGTTAAAAAAATAAAAGTACTTACCTTTTTTAAAAAATAAGGACTCAGATGCTGACAGCTTATGAAAACTATTATATTCTGTAAACTTACTACTAAGACATTCCTTACATATATTTACTACTAACCTAAATTAACTTTCAATTCTGAATAACAAACAGATTGAGTAGACCTTGCTTTATATCAGACAAATGGTGGTTTTAAAGGTGAATAAAGTGGCTGAAGCCTAGGCTTTGACCTCAGAAGCCTATTCCACTAAACCAAGCAGGAAGGAAGCAGTGATTCAGAGGTAGCATCAACAATCCTAAACTAACTAGTAATGAGTTTTATGGCCTAAGAAAGTCACACAAATGATTATCTCTGTCCTTGGAGAGATGATGGCTTAGCAGGGCACTCCAGATAAATGAAAAGAGGATTCCCTTTTTTGAGGAAATAAACCTTGGAGAACTGTTAACAATAAGTAAACAAAATAAAACACAACTGAAGGAATGAAATAGGTTCTGAATCCTTTGAAAGCACAATAGAAATCAACGTGTACTGAGGAAAGAGAAATGCAAAGGCGAAACTCACTTCAGGTAAACAATTTAAAACTCAAATAGTGAACTTAAAACCTTGGCAAAAATCCATGATGTGAGCCAAGAGATGTAAACTATAGAACGAAACTACGGTATTATTTTTTAGTTCAATTTCCCATTCTCTATTAGCAGTACAAATTACTTTACTTTCTTATTAGAAAACCTTATTAACGTATAAAATGCATTATTAAGGAGTAAAACCTCAAATCTTTTAAAACTGCAAGCAATTCACACCCTCATTGACTTAATGGGTTATAAATGTTTCTGGCATCCAATTTAAAACTAAACCTCTATTTACAGAAGCTTCAAATTTCTAAAGTAAGGTATGAATGGAGTGGGCAAAAACTTCCTTCTGTTTCATCTTACTAAATATTTATTGAGTAGTTCTGGGGTGCCAGGCAATGTACTGGATACCGTGAAAGGAGAGATGAGTAAAACACAGAGAGTTTGCAAATTATGATGAGCTACTGAGACTCAAATAAAAAGATGAAGTTTTTGGAATGATTTATGGATAGCACCATTAAAAATAAAATATTTTCAACCCTAAAAATAGTTTCTACCAAAAATCCAAAGATTCTACTTAGAGCTCAAATTCTTTTCTTTTAAATTTTCTACTTTTGTTTAATATAATTGTGCTTATATAATTTTTTTTTTACATCTTTACTGGAGTATAATTGCTTTACAATGGTGTGTTAGTTTCTGCTGTACAACAAAGTGAATCAGCTATACGTATACATATATCCCCATACCCGCTCCCTCTTGAGCCTCCCTCCTACCCTCCCTACCCCACCCCTCTAGATGATCACAAAGCACCGAGCTGATCTCCCTGTGCTATGCAGCCGCTTCCCACTAGCCATCTATTTACGTTTGGTAGTGTATATATGTCCATGCCACTCTCTCACTTCGTCCCAGCTTCCCCTTCCCCTGCTGTGTCCTGAAGTCTGTTCTCTACATCTGCGTCTTTATTCCTGCCCTGCCACTAGGTTCATCAGTACCATTTTGTTTTAAGATTCCATGTATGTGCATTAGCACAGGGTATTTGTTTTTCCCTTTCTGACTTACTTCACTCTCTACGACAGACTCTAGGTCCATCCACCTCACTACAAATAATTTTACATTTGGTAGTGTGTGTGTGTCAACAGAGCTCAAACTCTTGAAGCTTCCTTTAATGGAGTCAGGTTGAACCTGGTGGGGGTGAGGAGGCTGAATGATTTGATGGGTGATTTAAATTTCTCAGGCCCCTTTTCAGAGCACTTTACACTCTTCTCAAACAGTCACGCTATGGCAAGAACTCTGGTGGACAATCTCCTTACATATTTACTAAGGCATTAAAAATCATTACCTTCTAAACATATTTTGTGATAAGAGATGATAAACAGCAGGAGAATGGGACAGGCATGCTGTGAAAGACCAATCTTACTTGTAAAATCCTCTGGACACGGTGCTAATGAAAACATCATTTATTAATTTGGGCTGGAATTACCATAAGTCACGTGCATTTCCTCACGTTCATAGGAGGCTTATATGCAACTGCGGCGTTTAGCTAGCACGACCAGAATACATCAGTCTCTATGCAAAGCACAAAGGGGCTGCAGTAGTCTTTTTTTTTCCCCAAGAAAGCTTCCTCACACAGGAAGGAGGTAATCCCGTGTGACAAAACAAAGGTAGGAAGTGCTTAAGCACATATCAGCCAGTTCAAAACCTCGCAGTTTTCTCCCCAGGCAGGGATCTACCTCTTACCCCTCTATCTGGGTCTTCCTAGTGCTCTTACACTGAGAAGTTATTCAAGGAGACAGCTTCTCCTAGGACCAGCAGGAAGCATCTTCTAAGAGGCCTCAAAGCACAGGTGCAGACACTGCTGAGACTAGGGGACGTGGGTACACAGCCCACATACCTCCCTGCCCACAGGTCAGCAGGCGCTCAGTGTCACAGGGCTACAGACCCCTCTCGCTGTACGAAGACCCAGCGTGTACATAAAACTGGATCTGGGGAGGCAGGAGGGTAGAGTGCTATAATCACTCAGTCTAGAGAACCCTCAAGATTGCTTTAACATTAGTGTTGCTGGAGCAGGGCTTCCCATGTTTGAGGGGGTTTGCTTTGTTTTTGTCTTGGACTCATGAACCCCTTTGGGAAATTTTAGGGATTTACAGGTAGTAAATTGTGAGATAATATGATGAGGAACTGACATAGGAAAAATGCTGTATTTTGTGTGGTTATGATTAAATATTGCATTTAAATACTGCACTTAAATTGAATCCATAATAAATTCGTAACATAAACAGGCAAATGTTTACCTTCTCCCATGCAACAAACGGTGCTCACTATTTAATGTACCCTTCATATGAAGTCCATTCCCTTTAGTGTGCATCCAAGGTTCTCCACAATTCGGTCTGGGTTTTCACCTCAGAAGCGGCATCTCTCACTCCTCCACCCGCCCTGCCCCAAGCTGCTGTGGCCTGCTGGATGTGCTGGGCAGCTTCTCACTCCTGAGACTCTTTGTTTCCTCTTTTTCCCGGCACACCTCCTCCCAATCTCTGTCTTAGCATCAATACCGCTTTAGGTCCGGCCACTTGTTCACATGGCTGACTCTATTACCTACTAGATGATGAGATCCTTGATGGAAGGGACTCAAGCTTAATGCCTAGAAGAGCTGCCAGCACACAGTAAGTAATCATTAGATGTTTAACCAAACAAATGAACAGATGAGATTAATAATTAAGCATTTGTACTGCATTCATCTAACACCTACCATGCACCGTATACTCCATTTCAGCATCCAAAGACTATCTCAACCTTAATTTTCCTAACTGTGGGGCAAAACCTCTATAAGAATCTGTATCAAAATATTTCTCTATTTCTCCGGCAAAATGAGACAGCCCCTTTTGGCTGTCTGGAAAAACAGGGATGATCTAAGAGGAACTGAGGTATGTACAACACCACCTGGGAGGGTGTTCTTCTGAAGCACACACCTTAAAGGCAGGATGGAAAACCTGGTCATGGAGTTGGGGGTGAGGGTTATCTTTTTTTTATAAGGAGGGCACAGGAGCCCAAAGACTGTTCCTACTGTGTTTTGTATGACAGGTACGCACTGTGTCTTGCGTCTCATCTACCCCCCCCACCCCACCCCCCCTCCCCTACCCTTCTAGCTGGTCACAAAGCACCAAGCTGATCTCCCTATGCTATGTGACTGCTTCCCACTAGCTATCTATTTTACATTTGGTAGTGTATATATGTCCGTGCCCCCCCCTCCCCGCCGCTGGCAGGAAGTTCTCACTATGCTTGTTCTGCAGATCAGGAAACACAAAGGCTATCACAAGCGGCCCTGCTTACACGGTTAGCCCTGCTGGAAACACACACAGATCACCTACTTCTTTCTGATCAAGTTGAAGGGAGGATTTTATTAAGTCTCGGAGTGCAGTCAGCTGTTTCTTTTCTTCATCCTGGGTCTGTTTTATCTATGAGAGAAAAACAGTTCTTCTATCACTTATGAGCAGAGTTTATTTATGAGCAGAGTTTAATTCATCCAAATGTATACTACTCATCAAACAATTCAATTATACAGTCGATTTCCTTATTAAAGTCCTTCACACGTTCTCATTTTTGATATGAGAGGCACAACTTTCTCATCTTCTTAAAGTACCAGTGAGTTTTGAAATTAGTGAATAATGCAACATGCTTTCTTATTAAATAATACATCTAGGCTAGACAATTAGCTCTGAAGGACCATTTTAAACAAAGGTTAAGAAATGACATTGAGCTATTTGCTTCTGGTATTTCAAAGGGTGGCAGTGGAACTATCAATACCACGAAGTGATTGAATGGGCCAGAAGACAATCCTGAGAATGACCAGAATCCCAAGAGCTAATGCATACACAAAAGCTTACAAAGTTTACATGAAGGGAAGGGATTGGTGCTGCTTTTCTTATTAATCACTTGGAGCTTAACTGCAACCTGAACCATGTTAACTTTTCAAAGACAAATCAGAAAAGTTCTATTAGAATATAAGGTATCATGTGTAACGCTAAAACCTTATTTGAACACATGTATCAATAGTCACACTCCTAAAATATATACTTTTAATATTATTCACTGCCAAGCAGTTCATGAAGAACAAACTTGAGATTTCTCATATGCAATTAGTTTTTTTCTCAAGAAGGTTTTCCTCTTGATTTTCCTATTCTAAAAGCAAAACCTAGATAGTAGGGGAAAAAAGGAGAGGAAATATAAAACCAACAAGCAAGCAAAAAAAAAAAAAAAAATTCATAAACCTGCTTACTCAGAGACAGTCACTTAATTTTTTTCCTTCCAGGATAAAAATTTCCTTCTGCAGCTGCTGACCAAAGGGCACTCATATGTGATGCTACTGACCCCAGCACGGAGAGCCATTCAGAACCAATGGCTACCCACCTACCCCTTGCCCTGCTCCACCTATGTCCCAGAAACTACTCTGGAATATCTGACAAGTGATGATGTCTCTGAGTTAAACCAGAAAAACAAAACAAACCAAACCACAAAAAAACATTTATTGGCCCTAGATTTATGCTAACACATCACTTCACCTTGTCTTCTTTTTTCTTTAATGCTCTTCTAATACAGATTTCAGATTTACTGATATTTATCTATAAAAGCAAGTTAAAGTGCAGGTATTTTGTAAGGAACTTACATTATATAAATCAGCAGCCAGTTTTTCAATGTACTGTTTCAATTTATCAGCTGTCTTCAAGCCATCTTGAAAGAAACTACAATGGAAAACATCAGAGATTTATCAGCAGTGTGAAAAGAGAAATGAACCACAATTACCTGAAAAATCTGAAAATTTTCATAGACACGTATTAACTCTCTACCATATATCTATACGAAACACTTATAAAACTAATTTCAGTATTTTATAAAGATGTACCAATAAACAAACTACAGGCACAGTTTGACATGTGCTAGCAGGTGTCACATGGACACTGCAGATAACAGCTACATCTCCAACCTCCTGAGTCATACACAGAACAATTCTTCCTGGTTGTGCCATATTTGAATTTGAGAGAGACAGAGAGACACGTTTGCCAGTGGAATATGATGAAGTCCGACTGGATACTAACGAGAGAAATAAAGGCCAGAGGACAGTCAGCAAGGGTTCTTGCAGTTTCCAAAAGATCCCTGGGTCCCTACACACTTGAAACACAGGATGCTGAATCAGTGGTATGGACTATGGATTCGGAAAGCACTCTCCTACCACACACATTAAGAAGGGTGTGTCATCTCACCCTGAACTGGCAACAAGCACTGACATCTGCTGAGCGACCATCACCTGACGCCTCATTTCATCTACACCCTCACAGCAACACGAACGAGCGGGTAAGCACTTCAAGTCTCTCCTCCATCCCGAAGGAGGAGCTGAGGCCCAGAGCGAGGGTGGAACTTGCCCAAGCTGCTGACGCAACTAGTAAGTGTCAGAAGTGGGATCAGGTCCAGGTGCCGACACCACTGCTCTCACTACCAAGCGATGCGATTTCTTGTCTGAGCGCTTCCACTCAGGAGCCCCGTTTGTGTCCGTGTTCAGAATGTCCTCCACCCTGCTGGAAGCTTCTTTAACCTCCGCGGAAGATTATGTCTCAATGCACGTTACCTGCGCTGCTCTCTCCCCAGGAAAGGAAGAGGTCCTTGAGGACGAGGACGGTCTCTCATCCCCACATCATAATGGGCCCAGCACAGAGCAACAGATGCTCACTTAGAAGGTAAGAATGAAGCACGACTAAGAATTTTGAGGGCACATTTTGGGATCCTTGTGTATCTTTCCAGCTTAATATGTACACTCAGTGGTAACAATACATCCTTGCCAGAACTGGTCTTCAAAGTGATTAGTGAAATTCTACAAGCTCCAAAGTTTTTTAAGGTTCACATCTTTACCACAGAACCCTTACTGAAATAAGGGTTTCATGTAATCAAGCTACATGTAAACTCTCATCTACAAACATTCAGGTTTTCATCACTGCCTTTAGGGATGCAAGTTGAACTTCTTGGTACAAAACTGAATAACTTCTATGTTCTGAATATCTTTCTGGTTTTTATCTCCTACCATTTTCCCCTTAAAAACTCTGGCCTCCTGCCACGCTCCATTATTTCCAGTTCCTCCCCCAGCCTTCGCATATGCTGTTCCCTTTGCCTGAAATGCCCTTCCCCATTATTACGTGCCTATCAAACTCTCTCATTCTATCCTGGCTCAGCTCAGCTGCTACCTCCCCAGGCAGCTTTCCCCTGCCTTTCCAGTCAAGGGGATGGCATCTTTGAGCACTTGCTTGTGCCCAGGCCTAAGTGGCAACACTAGAGCAGCTGACAATGTTCTGCACAAAGCAGATCATCCAAAAGCATTAACCTGAACCAGCATCTTCTACATCCAGGAAGGAGTGTCAGCCAAGGACACAGAAGTTATCGCTAAAAAGTTAACCACAGCAAAACTAGTTTTAATCTCTGATACTGCACTTAATTTCTGGAGAAAGGGCTTGAAAGTAGAACACTTGATGGATGCTGTCAGGACTTCTTACAACAGGAAAAACAAGGGCATTGGGATGAGATGATGATGGCCTAGGCTGTGCTCTGGACTTACCAGCTATGGGACGCTGGCAAGTCACTAAACTTCTGCCCGTGTTACTGGTATTAAATGGGATGAACAGTACAGATAAGACACACAAAATGACTCAGCAAGGTGCTGGGCAGTTAGGATGTGCTCAGTAAATGTTGCTTTCCTTCCCTGGAGCCGCAGAGGTTTACCATGGAAGGAGTTACTTCTTTCTCAGAGGGATACAGATTCTTCGAAGATATTTTTGTAAAGGTGTTTCATTTTCACTTTCAACGTGAAAGGAATTTAATCATCACGTTAAAAAAAAAAAGTGAGTTTAAACGAGAATGCTCTAGATCTGTGTTTTCCAACACAGTATTTGCCACTAGCCACATGCAGCCAATTTAGTTAAAATTAAGTAACTTTAAAATCCAGTTCATGAAGTCTCACCAGCCATATTTCAAGTGCTCAGTAGCCAAGTGTGGCTGGTGGGTACCATGTGAGACAACAAAGATCAACACTTCCGTCATTTCAGAAAGTTCTATTGGACAGTGCTGCTCGACATCAAGAATAAGCAAACAGATCTGAACAGCATGCAAGGCATGTTATAAAACATACATCTGAGGGCTTCTCTGGTGGCACAGTGGTTGAGAATCCGCCTGCCAATGCAGGGGACACAGGTTCGAGCCCTGGTCCGGGAAGATCCCACATACCGCAGAGCAACTGGGCCCGTGAGCCACGACTACTGAGCCTGCGCGTCTGGAGCCTGTGCTCCGCAACGAGAGAGGCCACGACAGTGAGAGGCCCGCGCACCGCGATGAAGAGTGGCCCCCGCTCCCCACAACTAGAGAAAAGCCCTCGCACAGAAACGAAGACCCAACGCAGCCAAAAATAAATAAATAAATAATTTAAAACCTACATTTATTTGATGGAGGAAGAGGGCACTGTTTTAGTTTGAGATGATGTTGATAAAAATGGGAAGTTCTCTACCAGCAGTGAAAGCAAACTGGAAGGGGGGCAAATTCCTAACAATTAAAAGGCTGAAGAAAGACCCAAAAAGTCGATTTGCCTATAGTTAAATTCTTCCAAACATTACAAGAAAACTCAGTGCAATGAAGAATTATTTTAATCTATGGTATGATCCATTTTTGTAAACAAAACAAATCATATATGTAAACCCCGTAATCTTCTGAGTGAGATTCTGTTTTTTTCTCCCCCCGTCTTTTTCATTAACTCCATTTTCTAAATATTTTCTAAAAAAAGACATGTTACTCAGGAAGGACAAAATTAAAAAATCGACACTTAGTCTAGGAGGACAGGCTGAGTGGAGCCCCTCTCAGATGGTTATTTTAGGGCCAACGTCTAGCGTTGGGTGGGAAGCAGGAGCGGGGCTGGGGGACTGCAGGGCAACAACACACCTGCCAGTCCTTAGCGATGCCACAAAGGCCAACAGGCTGCCAACCGCACCGTCCCTCTGGGGAGCCCCTGGCCCCTACCCATGCTTGATTCTCCCACCTACTGGCCGGCCGGGACTCAAAGCCACAACCTTCCTCTGGGGGCACCCGCTTCTCTGTTCCCTTCCTCCCTCTCTTTGAGCTGGCTCTGGTTCAGTGGAAGTGCGTGGGCTTAGGCGTCATAAAGCATACCGTATTTTGGCTCTAAACCTGACCATATATATAACCTCAGGCAGGTCATTGACCTTGTCTGACTACGGGCATGCTTATCTCCAAATGTGGACATTTTCTAGCTTCCAGGGGCATCAGATGAGCTATTACAGATAAAAGTGTTCTGTTCACTGAAAAGGGAAGCACAGGTGTCAGTTCTGATGACTTATGACTCAACCTGAACGTGGACGCTTTGCCAACGAAAGGGGAAATTACCTCATGACATCCCACTTGTCCCTTGGCCAATTTCTCCGTAAATTACTGAAATAATTTGGAAAACAGGCGATGATGCAGTAATAATAATGGCAGCTAGCATGTAACTGAGTATTTACTCTGTGCCAGTCACTCACCATGATGCCTACATAATTCACGGAATACCCCTTTTTAAAGGTCTCATTACAGTCTAACAAAAAAAGGTAATTATTATTATTAACCTGTAAGACAGGTAAGGAAAACAGGCCCAGAGAGGTCAAGTGGGTTGTCTAGGGTCATCTAGTCACTGAGTGGGATTTGAGCTGGGATTTGAGTGTAAGAATTCCGATCTCTAGAGCAAAGGTAATTAAAAAACAAGACTGATCTGGGTCCAAATCCTGGCTCTCCCACTGAATAACTGCATCATCTCTGGAGCCCTGCGCCACAGTGTCCTTATACAGGAAATGGGGAGAATCGCATGGACCTTGGAGAGTTCTTGTGAGCACTGGATAATGTTTTTAAAATGCCAGAGGCACAGAGGAGAAGCTCAATACATGCCGGCCACCGGCCAGCGAAATGGGCTTCATCGTTTCTCTCACCCTAGGGACACAGCACGACTGGTTCACTTTTTTTTTTTTCCTTGCGTTATGCGGGCCTCTCACTGTTGTGGCCTCTCCCATTTGCGGAGCACAGGCTCCGGACGCGCAGGCTCAGCGGCCATGGCTCACGGGCCCAGCCGCTCCGCGGCATGTGGGATCCTCCCGAAACGGGGCACGAACCCGCGTCTCCTGCATCGGCAGGCGGACTCTCAAGCACTGCGCCACCAGGGAAGCCCCTGGTTCACTTTTTAAAGAAGAAGGTTGAAAGAAACAGGACCACAGTTTAATGACACTGGGCGCCAGAAAAAGATAAGCTGCCAACGGATGGGCGGAGTGACCCTCACATTTACACTGACGAATACACCTCCCAGCTGCAGAAAGCAAGCTCAGGAGTGTCTGACACTGTCACCCACCATCAGGCAGGACACATCCTCCTTAGAACAAACAAGAACCTTCTCCATCCTGAGAGAGTTGCTATATACTTCACTTCCTTCTTAAGTCACTCTAAGCAATGACGGGGAAGAAAAACACTATATTCGTCCTGCTTTTAATTTAAAAGAAAGAGAGACCAGAAAGTCTCCCTGATACCCCTTTATCACATGTTCTGCTTGGCTTAGGAAGAGGTATTACTTGGCCAAAAGCTGAAAGATTCAGAGAGCATTATATTATTTTCAAAAGAAGTCAGGGGGCTTCCTTAGTGGCGCAGTGGTGAAGAATCCACCTGCCGATGCAGG